GTACTAGATGTTTCTGGACATCTATGTCTCTGCTTGTGAGAGGAAGCATCAGAAATAAGGATACAAGACCACCTACCATTTTACCATCAGTTTTCTCAGGACCCATCACAAAAACGACAGATGGTACAGAGATGCAGGTATACTGCTCCACTGCCACATCTCGTTCTAATCCACAACCAAAGAATGTCTTTTGACAATTCTTTTGAGAGCCACATCCCTGTATTGATGTCATGTCATATTCTGCTGCGCAGTGTTTTGGAGACCACCTTACCCGGTATGCACACAAGTGAAGGGTTTTAATAACCACAGATAGGTGCTGAAAAATATTCATTACCGCAGTCTGATCTAGTTTTTGTCAACCACTACCCATAAAACTGCTTCCTGGTTCCTTTTTAGAGACCATTTTGACAAGTAAATTCTGCATCAAGAAGGGGACAGCAATGAGCCAAAGAAAGAGTTTCATCTCAACATCAAGGGAAACAATTTTACTCGTCTTACTTCATAGTGTCCAATAGGAATGGGAGATGGAAAACAATTTTTGGCCTATGCCAACTGAATATGCTTGTGCAGAAATTAAAATTCTACATGGTCACTTTGGCATCAATACTTCCTTCTCTGAAAGAGGGCAAATCAGTTGGTTTCTCTTCACATAAAAGATGTACTCTTCCATATATACATGCATCTGGCCCACAAAAGGTTCCTCAAGTTTCTTCATGGTCAAAATCATGACCAGCTGAGCATTCTTCCATTCAGGCTAGCAACACCACCTCAGGATCTTTACAAAGGTCTTTTCAGTGATGGCAGCTTGTATGTGAAGAAGTGTGTTTAACCTCATCCCATATCTAAGCGACTGGCTTCTGGCAGACAGATCATACAAAGATGCCCCATTGGCAGCCTTATTCCTTCTCCATCCATTCTCTTCTCTGTGAATTTATCAACCACAAAAGTCCACTTTGACCCTACGAGGTGTATACACTTCATAGAAATGGCCATGGACTCAGCAGCAGCAAAAGCCTCTCTGTCTATCAAGAAATGCCATGCTGATGGCAGTTTCATAAAACAAATCAACCTGGGACCTCAATCAGAACTTGACCTTTCCTCCTAAACCATGTGATGCACTTCGTCAGACTTCATCTCCATTGCCTGCAAACTGGGCTTCACCCCATGTGTCCACTCAAAAACTCAGCATTGGTGCCGCTGCCTTTATCATGAGCATGAGCCGATGCGGGGGAGAGCCAGCTGAAAAGCCAGTTCCCCCAACACCATCCCCACGGGAGGCAGGGGGGTAGCAGGGACCAGGCGCAAGCCAGGAATCAGCTGACGCCCAGTTCCAGATGTTGAACTTCTGCTTTTTAAATTTATTAAGAGCCAGCCAGCTCTTAATACTTTTAAGAAGCAGAAACATGGCAGGGGGAACCTGGCATGAACCGGGACAGCTGATTCCCGGCTCGTGCTGGTTCCCCCTCACTGCGCACCAGCCTTTAAAGTGGCTGGTCTTAATACATGTAAAAGGCTGGTGCGCAGTGGAGGGGACCCAGAGTAAGCCAGGAATCAGCTGTCCCGGCTCATGCCTGGGTGTTCTCCCCCCTCCCCTACCTGAGAGGGTGAGAATTCAGCCAAATAGCTAGTTGGGGAGGGAGGCAAAGAAGTGGGGAGTAAAGTGCAGCCTCTGCTAAATAAAATTGTATTCCCCCCCCCATCTTCCCTCTGCTCCAGCCTCACTCCCCTCAGGGCAACCCTTGTTCCCTCCCATCCTGCCCCCGTATCCTCCTTCATCTCTCTCCTGCCCCCACATCCCTGTGTCCCCAGCGCACTCACTGACAGGGCAGCAGCACTGGGACTTGCAGACCCCTGGGAGCCATGCTAGGGTGAGGAGAGGCAGGGAGAGGCAGAGTGTCTTCCCTGTACAGCCCAGCCCATTGTCTTCAAGCTGCGGCTCCAGTGATAGGGCAGGCAGAGCCTGGGGCTACCCAGGACTGTCTCTAGCCTGGCTGGGCACAGTAGGGCTCTAGGGAAGGGGCTCTAGGGAAGGGGCTCCTCGTAGGGTCAGCACAGCTCGGGCCCCAGCACGCCATGTATGCCAGCCGCCCAGCCCCAAACCCCTCCCGAAGCAGGAGGCAGCCCCAGGGACGCACACATTCCCCTCTCCTGACCTCCTCCCCCAGCAGGAAACCAGAGCTGGTGCTCCAGCCTGCAGCTGTGTGGTGGAGGCTCAAGACGCAGCACGGGTCCCCTCTGCACGAGAGGGAGCGGGGCAGAGTCCCTGCTCTGCATGCCAGTAAAAATCAGCTCATGTGCCAGGGGTTGCCAATCCTTGTGCTAAACTGACGGGGGGGAAATGTTGGATTGTGTAACCTTACTATGCAGATCTCTTGAGGCAGGGAAATGTCAGAGAAGTGTGTGATGAATTGATAGTTGTGTGTATATATAAAATGTGTTAGAATAATGAATATTCACATGTAGTATTGTGTACGTCTTTCTCAATGCAGCTGTTCCAGACTTAGCAGAAATGGTCTCAGGGTTTTGTTGACTAGAAAATCTGGTTTATGTGTCTTATCTGTAAAACCCATGATCTGTGTAAATAATACAGTGATGCAAAGTGTTATGAGAGAATTGTTAGGTCCAGGTACCCATTCACATATTGACTGTCATATCATATGTTCTGAGATCTTACAGTATTTGTGCACAGCAGTGTGAGGTAAAGTAAAAATATCAGTATTTCCCTTGGTTACTCTGTTATGTTTTTAAAGGTTTTACGTCAGATCCTTAATGCTTTTTAATATTTCTGACCCAACTTTTTAAAATTGTAGAGAAAAATGGTTGTGAAATGATATGATTATAATAAGATGGTGTGGCTCAATAATCACGGTTTTGAAAACATGTACGTACCTTCTGCACTAGTGGTAATGCATTGATAATTACAGTAAAATGTCTTGGGTATACAGTTATAGACTGATACAGTGTCCACTGACATCAAGAGTGATACTCTCATTGTTCTAAACGGACGTTGGATCAGGTCCTATTATAGTAAATTTAGGTCCTCATATGAGAGACAGAGGGTGACAGTCGAAGAGCTCCTAGAGAGCATTACATGTATATGGAGTCATGATTAGAACAGAGTTTGCAGAAGTTTTGAACTGGTGAGTAATAATTAAACTAATTGTTGACCAAAATGGTGTGCTTGTGTCGGAACACCAGTTCCGATTCTTAGATATTTAGGGGTTTCTCCTGCTAAGAGGTGGAGAGAGTAGTACAAAACTGAAGTGCTATTCCTCTCTTACGTAATAATTGTTTGCATGTTTTCAGTCTTCTTTGGGGTTTTTAGTGTGGGAAATGTTAAAGAGCAAGTTTCTATCTTTCTAGATAATGATTTTAAAAGAGAAAATTGGGTACCTTCTTTTTTCTCCCCCAGATTCGTTACATTTCACAGACTCAAGGTTTGCCTGGAGAGCAGTTGTTGAATATGGGAACAAAAACTGCAAGATTTTTCTGTAGAGAAACAGATGTACCATATTCTGGTTGGAGGTTAAAGGTAAGAAGTATAAATTAATTGAAAAAACCAGTATGATGTACTCACGTGCAAAAGCCATATTAAGGTTTCTTATTTACAACGTGGAATTCCTATTCACAAATTTGGAAAAAGATAGACCTATGTCTTCTACCTAAGTCGTCTTAGGCCAGCTCTGCTGTACATACCTATATTGACATAACTGCCTTGTTTGGGGGTGTGAAAAATCCACATCCCTAGGTAATATAGTTGTACTGAGCTAATCCCTCTCATAGACAGGGTTATGTCAATGGGAGGATCTTCTCCCATCAACAAAGCCCTCTTTAGACTTCATTCCTGTCTCTGTCTCATGCTCTTCTAGTGTCTTAAAGGAGAAAAAAACAACTTACACCAATTAAAAGGACACTGTCAGTATAAATATTTACTACTAGTAATCAGAATTTGGATAACTGAGGGTATGTCTACACTACCCCGCTAGTTCGAACTAGCGGGGTAGTGTAGACATACCCTCAGTTATCCAAATTCTGATTACTAGTAGTAAATATTTATACTGACAGTGTCCTTTTAATTGGTGTAAGTTGTTTTTTTCTCCTTTAAGACACTAGAAGAGCATGAGACAGAGACAGGAATGAAGTCTAAAGAGGCCAGAAAGTATATTTTCAACAGTTTGGATGATGTAGTGCATGTGAGTATTGAAGTATTTTTCCTTTGCAAGGAATACAGCTGAGAGCTGCACAATGATTTATTTTGAAATTTATCAGTTACCTATTGTGAATTAGAGTACATTCTAGGAATATCGTCCGTTCATCCATACTTTCCTATTCTGCTTCTGGGCAAACTATCCATCTCTGCCTATCTATTTAGTTTCCTTGATGCATGGATCTTGTCTTCCTTTGTTGTTGTATGGTTGTTATACTGTTACATTTGTCCTGGAAAAAAAGATCTTAAATATTGTGCAGCATATCCCATATTCTACTACTACATCTGCCAATCCAGGCAAAATTATTCTTTCATCTAGTTTTGTCTATAGTAGAAGTATCATTTGTCTTCATCTTTTCTCTAAAGGAAACTGACTGCTTCCCAAACAGTTTTGTTTGTAACTAAAATTCATGCTTCTATTTCTACTGCTTTATATGTCTTGATCACTAATAAAAGGAAATCCCCCCCCTGCTTCTTTTGACATCCTCCTGAGGATGTATTCAGTTCCATTTCAGGACTGGTGGTACTATACAGAGTTGTCGTCTTCATGTACTAACTCTGTTCTCACAGCTTGACCTTAAAAAATTAATAATACTTAACATTTATTTAGTATTTTCCACCTTCAAGCAAAATTAAGTAAGAGGTCCTAACTTGCTGGATTTTGATACTTTTAATCTTTTATTCCTCTCTTCTCAGATGTAGGCAAAATCTGTTTAGTTTTGAAAGCTGAAGAGAGATTCAACCATGTCTGTAGACTTCCAATGGCATGGAAGCAGCCAGAGAATCTCTTTTGCTCCCATTTGTCAGGCACATGCATTCCCTAATTGCTCTGAGGGCTCATCTAGACTACTAGTAACAATCAAAAGAGAATACAGGACTATGTAGCACTTTAAAGACTAACAAGATGGTTTATTAGATGATGAGCTTTCGTGGGCCAGACCCACTTCCTCAGATCAAATAGTGGAAGAAAATAGTCACAACCATATATACCAAAGGATACAATTAAAAAAAAAAGTGAACACATATGAAAAGGACAAATCACATTTCAGAACAGAAGGAGGATGCAGGGGAGAGGAGAGGAAGGTAAATGTCTGTGAGTTAATGATATTAGAGGTGGGGAAGGGTAGATGTCTCTGAGTTAATGGTATTAGAGGTGATAATTGGGGAAGCTATCTTTATAATGGGTAAGGTAGTTGGGGTCTTTGTTCAGCCCCCCGTGGAGAGTGTCAAATTTTAGCATGAATGCCAGTTCAGAGGATTCCCTTTCAAGTGCAGATTTAAAAGTCTTCTGAAGTAGGATGCATGTGATTAGGTCATTGAAACAGTGTCCTTTCTGGTTGAAATGGCAAGAAACTGTTTTTTCTTTGTGATCCTGAACACCCCCGTTCTTTCTTTCTGAAGAAGCCTCCAGGAAATAAACCCTCCTCCCCATCCACACATGCCTTTTTCTGCAAGACTTCTTTCAGAAAATGGTTTCTTCCTCATAGAGGATTATCAATGCTGGAAAAACCCCTCTGTTCTTTCAATTTACTTTTGAAAGAATGCAATTGCAATGTGGTTTTGCCAAAAAAGGCTGTTTTTCCGACAAAACTCTGTGGTGTAGATATATCCAAACCCAAAAATCCATTACTTAAAGACCCAGCACATCTGCTATTTCAACATATCTTGCAACACTGGCTGCAGCAGTGCCATGTACATTCATTTTCTCACTGTCAGGCGATATTGTAGTTAAATATCAGGAAGCATTATTTCCCCTAAATATAAACAATCTTGTTTGTCCTAGTAACTAGCTGTACAAGCAGTAAAACTAAGTGGATGCAGGGTCTAAACTTTAAGATTACATTGTTTTGTTTTTGAGTGCAGTTATGTAAAAATAATTACATTTGTAAGTTCCACTTTCATGATAAAGAGATTGCACTACAGTATTTACATGAAGTGAACTGAGAAATACTATTTCTTTTGTTCTTTTGTTTATCTTGTTTACAGTGCAAGTATTTGTAATAAAATAATAAAGTGAGCATTGTCTAATTTTCCATTGTTGATTTGTACTGTGGTGTCCAGGAAATGGATCTCTCGTGTGGAATGGTCCAGGCTGAGGTTAATGGTGGGGTGTAGGTTGTTGAAATCTCTGTGGAATGTCTCCAGTGTTTCTTGGCCATGCGTCCAGATCATAAAGATGTCATCGATGTAGCGTAAGTAGAGAAGGGGTAAAAGGGGACGGGAGTTGAGGAAACGTTGTTCTAGGACAGCCATAAAGATATTAGCATACTGTGGGGCCATGCGTGTACCCATGGCTGTGCCGCTGCTCTGGAGGTATAAGTTGTTCTCACCCACAATTATTTCCAGTTTGAGAACAAAGTTACATAGGTCTGCTATCACGTTGGCAGTGGTGTCCTCTGGGATAGTGTTTCTAATTGCTTGTAATCCGTCTTCATGTGGGATGTTGGTGTATAGTGCTTCTACATCCATGGTGGCAAGGATGGTGTTATTGGGGAGGTTATCGATGTTTTGTAGTTTCCTTAGGAAGTCAGTAGTGTCTCGGAGATAGCTGTGGGTGTTGGTTGCGTAGGGTTTGAGGAGAGAGTCTACATAGCTGGATAGACCAGTAGTGAGTGTGCCAATCCCAGAGATGATGGGGTGTCCGGGGTGTCCAGGTTTATGGATCTTGGGAAGCAGATAGAAATGTAGCCGTGTTAGACTAATACAGCTACTCGGGAACAAATCCACACAGAAACACCTTCTGACCCCCGACCAGGATTTTTCTATTACTAATCGAAAGAGGACACTTGTACCTCTTTCTGCCCCATGGAATTAGTTAACTGGTTAAACATTACATTTAACTGGTTAACTAATTAAATGGGATTTTACATCCCTAAAAAGAAGTAAAAGATACATGTTTGGTTTTATCTGATTTTTTTTTTAATTCTTCCATGCCAGGTGAACATGGTGATGGATTTGGAAGGAAGTGACCTATTGGCAGAGAAGGCAGATAGAAAAGAATTTGTGAGTCTGTTGAAGAAAATGTTGCTGATTGATGCTGATTTAAGAATTACTCCAGCTGAGACACTGAACCATCCGTTTGTTACCATGAAGCATCTCCTAGATTTTCCACATAGCAACCAGTATGTTATATACATTAATAAAGCAGTATTGCATTAGACCTACAGTACAGTGTTATAGTCAGATTGACATGCATAATAAAGACTCAATTATTACTAAAAATCTTTGGACCTGATAAATTAAAGTTGCCTTTCATAAGTTATACATATTAGACAGTTTATTGTGTGATCATATGCATTACTTGTATACAAATGGTGTGCGTGTTGATATAGTGTTGCTTAAAATGTATAGGATGTTGTAAGTATGTTAAGATCCTAGAATACAAAATTACCCACACTGAAATAATAGTGCTAGGGCATGATTTTGAACAGAACTAAGTACCTTTTATTTTCATACAAATGGTGTTCAGAACTTGACAGAATCAGGTACTAATTCTCAGGCCCAATTAAAGTATTTTTACAGTGCTGGAAATAGATACTTGAGCAACACAGAAGTTGAAGGAAGGACAAAACTTTCCGTCTGTCTAACCCAGCTTCTTTAGTATATACATCAGTTATTAGCAGAAATTCAGCAATATTGTTAGATACTACAAGTAGAACATAATTATAGTTTATCTTGATAACAAGACACAGATTTAATTCATTTATCAATAATTATAAGACTTTTGGGATTTCAGATAAGTGATGCCCATAAGCATAATTCTAACAGTATCTTGCTTTATACAGCCATGGCTGTGTCTAGACTGGCCAGTTTTTCCAGAAAATCAGTCGCTTTTCCGGAAAAACTTGCCAGCTGTCTACACTGGCCGCTTGAATTTCCGCAAAAGCACTGACGATCTCATGTAAGATTGTCAGTGTTCTTGCGGAAATACTATGCTGCTCCCGTTCAGGCAAAAGTCCTTTTGCGCAAAAGGGCCAGTGTAGACAGCTCAGGTTTGTTTTCCGCAAAAAAGCCCCAATCGCAAAAATGGCGATCAGGGCTTTTTTGCGGAAAAACGCATCTAGATTGGCACAGACGCTTTTCCGCAAAAAGTGCTTTTGTGGAAAAGTGTCAGTGCCGATCTAGACGCTCTTTTCCGAAAATGCTTTTAATGGAAAACTTTTCCGTTAAAAGCATTTCCCGAAAATCATGCCAGTCTAGACACAGGTTTTGAAGGGACCTAAAGGGTAATTTTGTCTACCCCGCTACCAAGATGCAGAATTATGTTAATCTTGCAGTTGTATTTTCAGAAACATTTCTCCTTCCTCCAGTGGAATGACTTTGTACTTTTTAAAATGGAAAATTTTAATTAAAACTCTTTTAATTAACTTAATTCTTTTCTTCTAACAGAGTGAAGTCTTGTTTTCATATCATGGATGTCTGCAAATACAGATCTAACTCGTATGACATAAGTAATTGCAATAAAACACCGTTTATGAGACCAGTTGCCTCAGGTAGTGCTGCTAATTTGACTGCAAACTTCACCAAAATTGGCACAGTGAGGAGTCAGGTAAGAATTTTTGGCTATTAAGTCTATTAATTTAGTTTCTCATTTTGATTTCAAAATATGATCCAGAAATAATTGATAGTAGCTGCAAAATCTTATATGCATTTTGTGCCTCCTTTCTAGTGTTGTTCAGTTTGAGAAAAGTTAGTTTTATAAGCCTGATTTCAAATAAAAACAGAGGTACTGAGTTGTCATCCTGAAAGTAGTTGCTTTAGTAGAGTGCCCTCCTGTGGTCTAATGACATTTCTTCATCTGAAATGTTTTGAAACTTTAATTCTAGTGGAATTATTATTAATTACTAGGGGGCTGTGCCCCCTGCTCACTGTGCTCGCCAACCTCCCTCTCCTGGGGGGGAGGGTTAGGAACAAATAAAAACAGAGGTACTGAGTTGTCATCCTGAAAGTAGTTGCTTTAGTAGAGTGCCCTCCTGTGGTCTAATGACATTTCTTCATCTGAAATGTTTTGAAACTTTAATTCTAGTGGAATTATTATTAATTACTAGGGGGCTGTGCCCCCTGCTCACTGTGCTCGCCAACCTCCCTCTCCTGGGGGGGAGGGTTAGGAAC